CCCCCCCCCCCCAAAAAAAAAAAAAAATAAAAAAAAAGAAAAAGAGAAGCAGGGGAGTGGGAAGACAGAAAGAGAGATCATTTCACAATTATGAGATCACATATTGTATAGTGCCCCTGTGATTTCCTTGCATCAGGGCATTGCTGGAGTCAGATGCCCACAATCCATGATTAGTACTAAAGTCCAGCTGGGGAGACTAGTGTGCAGAGAACAAGCACCCCAGACTTCATAAAGACTCAACACTTAAAAAATCAAATCCTTCTGACTCCTATTGGTAATATTTTTATTTTAGGGCTGTATTTTGACATAATTTCTCTTTCAACAACACCTTCCCATGCTTGATTTGGAGATTTTTTTGGTCTAGATAGACAGCATCCTGAAGGAGTACTTTCAGCCGGTCTTTTCACTTTGCTTTAGGCTGGAGCATCATCAGCTGGGATTATTCTGCTCTTTTCAAATGGGACATGACCATCCCATTTCATCCCAAGCTCTAGTACAGAGGTGAATGCACTACTTGTTGAACAAACTGTAATCAATAACTGAAATGTTTTGTCAGCCTGTTTAATAATTGAAGCTAACAGTATACTTTAGTTAAAAAGCCTCTTCATTAAATGGAATGTAACTTATTCCCCTACCCCTCTCTCCCCTGTGCTCTTTCCTACTCTGCAGGCATTTGCAATTAAAAATGATGCTTCTTTTTCTGCTGTGTTTTTCTGTAGCACCATAAATGCAGAATGTCTCCGTTACAAAGCTGTTGCTTTAATGCTTGTCCAACAGAAATTACAGTCTTACATCTCCTCAAGGACATGTTATCCCTCTACTCTCCAGCTCTCTCTGCTGCTTGATTCCTGCCCTTCTTTTTCTGCCCAATTTACAGTATGTTACAAGATCCTCATGGTATCCTACTACAATCTTGTACAACACTCAGTAAACGCAGAGTTCCAGGCTTTTGGAGCAAGCTCTAGGCACAGTTGGAACACTAATAGCAGATTATAAGGACAAAAAGAGCATTGCCCTGATAAATAAATAGTGATGGACATGAGAATTATCACATACCTTGAAGCTGTACTGCTTGGAAATTGCTACAGTACTGTGGACCAAGCTTATTAATCATCTCCACGGTTTCCACAGATATGGCTTCTTCAAACAAGTATGTAGGGCCAAGGCGCCAGGTCAAGGAGGACTTCTGTTTCCAAATTCGAGGAGTAGCTATGTACCCATAGACATCAATAAAGGAAGAGGGTTCCATGGACATACAGCTACCTGGTAAGGGCTGGAGATACTGCATCTGCAACAGAGGAAGAATTCACAGAGGGGACTCAATACACTCGGGGTGCCTTAAGGTCTTGGCCCTGGAAGGTACTGCCTGCCACCTCTTTCCTCAGTGAAGTCTCAGTCAGCTGTGCAACACAATTATCAACTACTGATTCGAAACGGGACTTTCAAAAGTATCACAAACATAAGCATTTTGGAACATTCAAGCCTACTTTTTGTTCAAAAAAACAAAGTCAAAATCATTTCAAGTGTTGGCAAAGAAAAACCTCTATCTTGACCCCAGACTTATTTTTCCTGTTCTTAACTTCGTAACTCAGACTGTGACTTTCAACACAGAAAGCCAAGTTACAGATTGCACCTTGTACTAGGGACCTAGAGAATAAACAGTTTCTGAAGAGCGTAGAGTGTCCAAGTGCATCAGTTAGCTTCAATGAAAATTATATAGGTTAGGAAATTGGACCATTTATTTTTGGTATCAAAATAAGGATTCAGCCTCCTAAATTGAGTCTATTATTTTATTTAAGTAACGACAGCTCTAGTAGGAAGCAGTTGGAATTTTTTTGGTGGAGAGAAACTATATTGTACTTCAGGGCTTAGCCCTGCCTTTAACAATTTGCTGTTAGGATGAGAGACTCCTAGCTTTTACTGATCTCTGACTACTGAGATGTAGAAGACAGGGCTGGTCAATATTAGGAGGCAGAACTTGATACTTGAGTGAACAAATATTAGGTTTGTTACAACACAGTAACCCACCCCCCACCCCAGCTCCACCACCAAAAATAGCTTTTGGTATTATTAACAACCTTTGTGCAATTCTCATTTCTTACACAATCTTTTCTTCACCTTACACATCAGGGTGAAGGCTTGCATCATGTCAGAGACCCCAGCACTGGGACCATCTTTTATTTACTGAAGGCTTGTTTTATTTATTATGAGCTGTTTCACTGTATGTTAAACACATTTGCTGTGAATTCTTTAATCAATTGCAATGCTTAGGCCTAGTTTTATTGATGACTTTCAGTCTCATTTGAAGGAAGGCAAATTAAATTAAATTTTCATTCTTGAAATGGATATAGGTCCCAAAAGGCATTTAGAAGACAGATCATTTTTCTCAAGTATGGGAAAGAGAATATTTGGAATTAAACAGGTTGCTTTTACAAGGGAAGTATAAAACACACAAGTGAGCTTTGCATGTGTTGAGATTGATTTGAAATATCGGAACAAGAAGGAAGAGACCAAGGTTCCAAGTTTCAATTAATAAAAGGAGTCTATTCAAAAACAAAAATAAAAAAACCACCACACCAACCCGAGCTGCAATAGAAATAGGCTGCATTTTCAACACTGCCAGCCTGGGGCATTCAAAAACCAAAAATCAAATCTCAGAAATAATTTGAGATTAGCTTCAAAACCAGGAGCATGATGATAATGATAATATAAACCAGGTGCTCTTCTCATTTATCCTGTAGATTATGAACCCTTCAGGTGCATTTGGATTGCTTTCTCGTGATATCTCATGCAACCTGAAACTGACTCCTATGCAACAAGAAGATCACAAGAAATGGCACATTAGGGGAAATACTAGCTACACCAACATTTGCAATGGACTCATGAGTTGATATCATTGAAGTTTACAATTTCTCCTAATTGAAACATTTCTTTCATTTCTATTAACTCAACAAAGAAGTATTATTTTAATTCAACTGCTATCCCACACACTGAACAACTAACCCGGAGGAACATCTATCTGTTTCCAAATGCTTAGAGTGCCAGTGGGAAAAAGGCCACTGACTCATCAGCTGATTGTTCAATGGGTGTAACAGGAAGAGGACAGCTTGAAACAAGCCTGTGTAAGATGCCTGAGGAAATTCCATCCATCCTGGGATTCTTGCAAAGAGCTAGCCAGTCACAGAAGCTTATTTCTCTGTGACCTTTCCCCTTTTCCAGGCCTTTCTTCAAAAATGGAGGCTCCCTACATAACTCCTCACCTTTGCAGGTTTTAGCCTAAATCCAAAGCACCTTCGGTTTAGGGTTCTCCGGTCACACCTTAATGTGATGTACTTTTTATAGCTGACAACTTCTGAAAATCTTGGGTGTAAACTGAGAGATCCTCAAAATCACTAGTCAATTCAGAAAATTTTGGCCTCAGGATACAACTGAATTTCATCAACATAACCCTGAGCTACCTGCAAACTAGGTAACCCCAACTCTCAGGTGAGTGCAACCACTCAAAATTGCCTGGGTTATCTGCATGCCGAGGGGGGAACTAGTTCAAAGCATCAGTATAAGCCGATAACACACTTCTGAAAAGCAGCACAAATACACCCTGGTTTGTATGGATTTCTAACTCCACTCACACACAGTACAGAGTGGCACATGTGTATGCAAATCACTGTGCTTTGAGTCTCTCAGGTTAATGCTGAAAAGTCATGGTATGTGCATGGGGAGGTGAAATTGAAAAGCAATGAAAGGCAAATGTCAGGCACAAGATCTATGCAGAGAGCCTTTACCTTTGCAGAGCCAAGCATCTGACCATTTATATAAGCTGACACAACGCAGTTCTTCTTTGCTTCCTTAGCAACTGTCACTGTGAGATGATGCCACTGGCCAGTGACCAGCAGCTTGCCACAGCCAAACTGGACTTGCCCTGGAAACGGGGAGGGATTTAGGACCTCACCCTCAGGTTCCATGATATCTGTAAGAGCAAAAACAGGGGACAGTCAACAGAAAGTCCCTCTCACTTTCCCCTGCCTCTGGAACACAGCTATCAAATGTGACACAAAGAACATGATTCTCTGCGGGTATAGAGTGATTTGGTGCTATTCTGTTCAATGTCTTTAAAACATTTCCTGATGGTCTATTATCAGGACCTGAGACTCGCACAACTCTCAAGATCCCTCCAGCATACAATATGCCATACTCCCAAATAACACCTGCTAGCTGCCTCAATGCTGCAAAACTAGACTGAACTAGGACAAAGCCAACATATTCTCTAAGAGAACCCCTCAGGATATTCACTGAGTTAGCTGACACAGAAAAAATTCCTAGCGAATTCATGAGATGATAAAACTCTGTACATTAATTTGTAGTTTTTATGAAAAGAGGCAAGCTGGTATTTTTGACGTCATCTAAGGGAATCAGAGCACTCACACAATGTCAGCTGTGCATGAAAAAAATCCCAGCTACTATTCCCACTCCATTCCCAACCTCCTCTGCAATGTTCAATCACATTCACATTTGAAGTACCTACTATACTCAATAAGGAGAAAGGGATAAATGTCAACAAGGAAAAAAGATTATTAGGCTGGCATGATAGAAAACATTCTAGAAGTGCGGAGAGGAATTAAGCTGTTTGATCAGGAAGCTAGTTCACTCCCAAACTCCTCAGTCCTACTCTCCAAACCTGCCTACTGCCACACAGAACAGGCAGAGACCACCTGGTTCAAGACAGACCCCACAAGGACACACAACAATATAACTGGCATTCAGTTTTCCTTAGAGTATCTGTAAGTTTTATCACATATTGCAGCCCATAAAATAATTCTCAATGCCTACAGCAAACTTAAAACTGAAATATGACCAAGAATTACAATCACAACAGGCTGCCAGAAGAAAACTGAAGAGATAAAAAGTCTCATTAATGTCCTGGGTACTTATAAGAAGAGGAAATTTGTTAATGAAAAATTCCAGATAATCAGAGGACACAGCACTGCAGCTTGACCGAGAAGAGCCTTACCGAGCGGCTGGAATTCCACTTCTTCTGTGGAAATGACCAAAGAACGGTCCTGCGGGACGAAACTTACTGAAAAGCAAACAAATTCTTGCTCTGTTCTTGACATGTGCCTCACAACTGTGAAGAAACGGAGTGGGTGACTGTTGTGCACCAAACCAAACTTGCTAACGAGAAACCAGCAGGAGAGAGTCAGGCCGCTTGAGGGAGGGAACATTCTGGTGCCTGCAGACAGGAAACAAAAAAGCAGTGAGGAAGTTGGTTTCCCTGTGTAGACATTAGCAAACTGCCTTCTGTTTCATTTGTAGCCCAAACCATCTAAGAACCAGCATTGGAATATGAGGTTTAATTTCTGTTCTGTTCTATTAGATTTCACTGCCTATCTTCAATATCATAGAGACTGCACATGTGAGTGCGTGCACATGTATAAATGACCTAAAATTGACTGTTGGGAAATAACTACTAGATCTCCATGCCACGGAGCTCATCAATCAAGCACTGAGCCAGAAACAAGTTTTCTCAAAGTTCACAAAATTCAGGAAGCAAGAGGTACAGCCATTTCCCGGTTCACCCAATAGAGGGTTTTGAGCTATAGGAGAATCCCATCTCATGTTAAGTGACAGTTTCTATTCCTTCCGTGGGAGATTACCCTAAAATCTGGTGGCTTTTACTTGTTAAGAGTGTTTTCCTAGCAGCCTGCTTTAAATTTGTATTGCTGATGTTAATGCTAATGCATCACACTATGAAGCTGCATCTGATACTGCATTTTGGTGAGCAGTCTGAGTTTTACAGCTCAGAGCCGCACTGGGACATAGGCATGGAAGTGTATTGAAACACACAGCTTATTTGCTGCCATTTCTTACAAATGTTGAATGCTTTCAAGTGGAGCTGAAAAGCCAGTGCTTTCAGGAAGCTGTAGGTGAGTCAAAGTACTTACCCATGCCAATTCCTCCTGAGACAGATTGCTCTGCACTCGGTCCCATGACAGTGGCCAAGGTAGGGAGGTATAAACACCTACAAAAGCAAGCAAGCACCCGTTCATCAGAAACATAAAATCATCCCTGAAGGTCACCAGGGACTTAATACCACAGAATCACGGTAGCAAGGCAGAGTCTAGGCTATCAGCAATAAGACAACAACAAAATAGGTTGGCAACGTTGCTGCAAGGAAGGCAGTGATAGAGCACAAGGATTGACTAAGATGGAGAGAGGTGTGATTAGTTGCTGTGTCCAGAATAAGGGCTTGGAGACTACAGAGCAGCTAAAGAGAAAAGCAACAGCAGCAATACCCATATCCTTCCATGGACATGTCAAACTCCACAAACGATGGAGCCAAAGCAGTGCTGCGGAGCTGGAAGTTTCGAGGTGATGTCATGGAGATGAGACTCATTGCAGTCTGCAGTGCCAATGCAGATCCCTTAGACGCCCAGGGAGAGCTGCTGACAGGCACAACTGTCTGAAGATCAGTTTTATTGTCCACCATGTCCTCTTCTGAACCTACAAGATCAACATAGTGCCTAACCAGATCAGTGTCTGGAATACTTTTTTCAGTTACAGGCTTTGCCCATATTCAGTTCATCATTGCTAAGAACAGCGTTGCATGCTCTTCAACTAACACATCCTCAGCAATACACAAAAATATTGCACTGAAGGAAATTTCAAAATGGGAGGCTGGCAGAAGAGATGAGCTTACAGAAGCAATAGCCATATTTTCTCCCCACACATCTTCAGGCAGCTCCAAACTTCACCTCTAGTAAAAAAGGTTCCTGACCCATTGGTTCCATTTTTCTTATACACAGACCATTCAATTCTGCCATAACAGAATGGTTACAACCAACACACGGCAGAAGATCTGAAGAATGACTGCAAAGAACATAAGACCCAAATTTGCACTATGCTGTATCAGGTATCTCATACACATGAGAACAGTTTAAGTGCCGAATGCTACTACTGTAGCCTTTCACCTGCATAATATGTTAGGACAGAGAAAGGACTTGCATGGAAAATGGCCTGTATAAGCAAGGCAGACTACTAGGATATTCTAGGGATTACAAAAAGCAGTGCTCTTTATTCACATCTTTATTCTATTTCTAGCTATAAACCACAGGGAGAACATGTTGCAAACTCAGGAGACACTCTCCTTGGTTTGTGGAATATGATTAGTATTTTTACAGATCGCTTCCATGTGTGATCCAGCAAAGTCTGAGTCTATGTCAGCATCTGGCTTCAGCACACATATTATAATTTGACCTCTGCTGCTCATTAGATCAGCTCTCAGTGTTGGTCAAGTACCACCCAACCCGGGCAATACCCACTCTAAAACATCCAGACATATGCCACCTTCACTGGGACTGTCTTGAAGAAACCTTCTCCAACAGCAGTTTCTTGTCATTACAGAAACATCTATAACATAGCTACTGTATCAGCAACAGGCTGTTCATTGTGTGCTTACCTTCATTCCAGGCTGCGTTAGCTGAATCACTGCCCTGACATGAAAGGGCCTTGGTCCTGTTTGTGCTGGGCCTAGAAGGTAGTGGGGCAGAACCTCCCAACCAAAGAAATTGCCTAACGTGAAAAAAAGAAGAAAGCAACAAAAAAAGGAAAACAATCAAGCCAGATACTTTGGAGTCATAATAACCATGCAAATGCAGCTCAGCCCTCTGGGACCAACTTTCTACGCCTAGTAGCCTTCTGTGGTGGAACAACTACAGCAGTGGACAAGGGAAGAGCTATGGATGTTGTCTATCTGGACTTCTGTAAGGCCTTTGACACGGACCCCCCCAACATCCTTCTCTCTAAATTGGAGAGATATGGATTTGATGAGTGGACTGCTCAGTGGATGAGGAATTGGTTAGATGGTCACATCCAGAGGGTAGTGGTCAATGGCTCAATGTCCAGATGGAGGTTGGCGATGAGTGGTACCCCGCAGGGGTCCATACTGGGACGACTACTGTTTAGTGTCTTCATCAATGACATAGTGGGATCGAGCGCCCCCTCAGCAAGTTTGCAGATGACACCAAGCTGAGTGGTATGGCTGACATGCCAGAGGGATGGGATGCCATCCAGAGGGACCTGGACAAGCTCGAGAAGTGGGCCTGTGTGAACCCTCATGAGGTTCAGCAAGGCCAAGTGCAAGGTCCTGCACCGGGGTCAGGGCAACCCCTGGTATCAATGCAGGCTGGGGGATGAAGGGATTGAGAGCAGCCCTGCTGAGAAGGACTTGGGGGTACTGGTGGATGAAAAGCTGGACATGAGCCAGCAATGTGCGCTCACAGCCCAGAAGGCCAATTGTATCCTGGGCTGCATCAAAAGAAGCGTGGCCAGCAGGTCGAGGGAGGGGATTCTGCCCCTCTGCTCTGCTCTGTTGAGACCCCACCTGGAGTAATGTGTCCAGCTCTGGAGCCCTCAGCATAAGAAAGACATGGAACTGTTGGAGCGGGTCCAGAGGAGGGCCATGAAAATGATCAGGGGGATGGAACACCTCTCCTATGAAGAAAGGCTGAGAGAGTTGGGGTTGTTCAGCCTGGAGAAGAGAATGCTCCGGGGAGACCTTACTGTGGCCTTGCAATACTTAAAGGGGGCTTATAAGAAAGATGGGGACAGACTTTTTAGCAGGGCCTGTTGCGACAGGACAAGGGGGAATGGTTTTAAACTAAAAGAGGGTAAATTTAGACTAGATACAGGGAAGATGTTTTTTACACTGAGGGTGGTGAAGCACTGGCACAGATTGCCCAGAGAGGTGGTAGATGCCCCATCCCTGGAAACATTCAAGGTCAGGCTGGACGGGGCTCTGAGCAACCTGATCTAGTTGAAGATGTCCCTGCCCACAGCAGGGGGGCTGGACTAGATGACTTTTGAACGTCCCTTCCAACCCAAACTATTCTATGATTCTATGATTTCTTATTGGATACCAAATTTTAAAGACATCCCAAATAAAACAGAAGGAACATTTTCAATTGTGTAATCACAAATATTTGTTTTGCTTTACACTTCCTCTTTCAAGGTTTTCCTACTGAAAAAATCAAAGTTTTATTTTCTTCAGCAATACTTCTGAATACTACTAATTTTTCAGAAAAAAATATATGGGTTTTTTTTGCCCTTTCTTTTTTTTTTTTTTTTTGGAAGAAATTCTGTTCCATTTTCCAGTAAAATATATCCAGTCTTCCACTGCATATCCAACTTCATCTGCACTCTGATCTCTATTAGGTACTCTCATGCCTAGCATTTGTTAGCATTAAAGAAGAAAGTACATCCTCAAAGTAGAAACAACACAGACTGAGAAACAAGGCTACACTTTTTATTTCTGCATCTATCATTGACATGGATCCGAGCTAAGAGAAAGTCACTTTTACTCTTTAGGAAACAGCTTCTCCATATGAATACCAGGAGAGAATAACCTTGAATAACCCTAGCTGTTTTGCAATTACTTAATTAGTTGCCATTCATAAATGGCTTTACAACCCCTGCAGAGATGATGCAGCAGAACACTACGGACTCATACCATCTTCAGTAAGTCATTTAAGCATATACCCTGTGATCAATATGTAAGTAGTATTAACTGAGACTTGAAACAAAAGGCTAAGAGTCTTGCTGAATCAGAGCACTACATGAAGTATTTAATTATTACACAAACTTTGCAAAAAATTTGCACCACTAAAGCAAATTGGTTCCATTAGATACAATCTGATACCTTAACACATCTGGCTCAATAGCCTGTGATGCAAGCTTCTCAAACACTCTAGTGAGGGGCAGATGCAGTGGATGGCTTTCATTGCGGAAGGCATCCTGACAGGAAGTTATGATGGTGCTCAGCAAGCCAGATCCACACATCACCTGGCGGCTCTTCTCTGACTTCACCAGGGACTGGATATGATCAACCACAGCACATTGGATTTCCTGTGAAAGCTGAAACAGACACAGAACTGAAGTCGGTGGCTGGAAATAAAACTGTACATGGTGACTGATTTTTTTTTTTTTTTTTTTTTTTTCCCATTTGAAAACTCTTGGGGGAAAAAA